GAACCATTACAATTATTAGTCACGTTCCCTCGCCGATTGTTATTACCAGTGCGTCGATTCGTTTGACCCTGGCGTGTATTCCTAGCCATATTTGCCAATGTCTCCTCATGTTCCATTGCAACCTAAATGCATCAATAATAAAACCTCATCTTATTCTATTCTCAAGTCCCTAAAACATGTAAATAAAATTAACATTATATCAAAATATAAGCTTTCCCAATCCTATATCTACCCAATCTCACCACTATTCTATACCAGCCTTTAAAATTACAACCTGGCTCTGATACCACAAAATTGTCACGCCCCAAGCTCCGTGACAACGCCGCACACTCATATAAGTGAGCATGCAAGGCTAAGAATCCAATCACATAACCCACAATGTAAAATACTCAAATTAAATCCTTAATTGTCATAATGCCAAAATCCATAAAAATAAATAGTTCTTATATGAAAATGTCCACTAATTTAATCCACTAACAAAACAATAATCCAAGAGTCCTACTCTCGGCACTCCCACATGTAAAAATCCCGCGCAGCTCTACTCTTCAGAATCTGAAAAAAAAAAATAAGAATAAGCTAGATAGCCCAGTAAATAACCAACTATCACTATTAGCAGGATCAAGTATACAAAATAAATAAATAAATAAATCGGTAACCAATAAATATAATTTTTTTTGCTACCATTCAATAAATGAACAATTATTTGTAAGATGGTTTCATAGCTAAAAATAAACAATGTATAATACATTTTAAATGAAAAGCCAACAAGATAATTCAAAGTAATTCATTGTTCAAATCGATGGTTCGATATTCAGATGGTTCAATGATTTGATTCACAAAACCCAAGTCTTAATGACTACGGTCACTTAGCCCGTGACAAGGCCCAGAACCACACATAGGCCGGTGGTAAAGCCCCAAAAGAAACTAGTTTCTGTGCCAATAAAAAACCTATTGGCTAGGGTCCAAATCATAGTCAGACTAGAGTGATGTTCAAAATTCAAACAATACACAACTTTTAAATAAAATATTCGATATTTTTGGAATAAACATTTGGTATAATTTTCAGAATAGTTTCAAAAAATATTCAAATAACTTTCATAATAATATTCGATGTTGTTTTATACTTGACCCATATTTTATTTTAAGAGAACATGAAGGCTATAAATAAATATTTATAATTTTAAACGATTCAGTAGGAATAAAAATGAACCAACAGTAATAGAGGGTTACTTACCTCAAACAGCTAAAATAATATTTCCCAAGCTAATCTCAAATTACCAAGATCCACCTCAATCTCACAAACCTAATAAAATATTACACCGCATAAACAATTTTATGTGCACCTATCTTTCTCTTCTTGTAACAACAATAGAATAAATTAACCCAATTGCCTATTAGGAACTCCCACAATTTGGCATCAAAACAAAGCCATCACGGCTTCGAAAATTCTCAACCCATATTATTCTATTGTTGTTTATATACATGTAAAAATTGTAATTGCTTGAAGTCAATCTTGTATCCCACAAACACACCACCATTAAACCTAACCTATCACATATCAATCTCAAAATATGAGCCACCCAAACGGAAAGCAAAATATACTCTAAAATTGAGTGAAACCGAGACCCCCAACATAGACTACATCAATATTTTTATTTAATCATATATGCCCATAAAATCATCTACTAATATATTAACACTAAAATCATAGATAGGAATACAATAAAATAAATCTTACCTAAGTGATGAATAAAGCAAAACCACCACTCTTGTGAATCCTCCCTCTTCCTTTTGGTTTTGGTTTCTTTTCTTTAATTTTTTTTTTTCAAACCCTTGTTGCCTTGCATTTTCGCAACATCCACGCCTCCCTTTGTTTGTTTGTGTTTTTTTTTTTTTGTTTGTGTTTGTGTTTTTTTTTTTTTTTCTTCTCCAAGACAAAGCCACGGCATGATGGCTTACTTAACCTAATATTCTTTTCTTTTTCTAAAATTGAAAAATTAACCACCTATGTTATAGAAATAATAATGCCATCTCATAATTAATTCCTTGATATTACTAAGTGACCTATATAAATTAATTTAATTACCAATCTATCCAAAAATAATAATATACAAAACTTGGGTTTTACAATGCGTCTGACCCTATCCATATGATTCTTACAATCCTTCTCTAAATATGTCAATTTCTCATGCCCTCCTGCTTGAACCACTAATGAATTAAAACTCTTGTTCATTCTAATACTGGCTTTAGCATGTAATTCAAGCCTCCTTTTCACAGCTGAATTGAGAACCCTATGGCATCTATAAAATCGAGCTTTTCCTAGACTCACCCCATGATTATGGTCAAGAACCATAGATCTCAAAATCCACTTTCCATCACCTAATAGATTTGCACAAATCTTAGCTTTGCAATCCGTTTTTTATTGTGGATGCAATTGATGGAGTTTGCTTGATTTAATCTTTGGCTTTCCACTATGATTACAAGCAACTGTCACATACCTCACCTCACCTCCTACTTTTTTAAAGCTTCTTATACACCTGCCAAAACCTTTTTCCTTCGCATACATTTGATAGAATTGAACAAGGTCATCAATGGAATCAAACAACATTCCTACTTTAGGATCTTCTACACTTTTTGCCGTCTCTATTTCAATCTCATTATGACCTTCATTTAAGCCAACACTTTGAAAACCACTTGATACTTCCTCCATGTGTCTATATTATAATATATAGAATAATCAATGAACAAAAACAAAAACAACATAAATTAGAAAGTCTACTTTGTTAAACCAATCTTCTTTAATTAAAAAGTAACATATTCATACATGTATAACTATTAACTAGAATATGGAAATATACATATTCTTTCTTCAATTTACAAATAAATCTATAAAAGCCTTTCTTTGTACTATTTGCATTCTATTGCCTCTTTTCAAATTCGTTTTAGTTAAGTGTTTTACAGATTTGAAGGTTAAAGATGGTTTTATTGTATTTAGTTATGCCTCAAGTAGTGTTTGGTTATAACCCTTGGTTTATGACACATTATGGTGTTAACGGGCAACACTGTGTAGGGGCTGGGAGGGGGCCCGGCCTCCACCGATTTTTAACAATTTTATTATTATTATTATTATTATTATTATTATTATTATTATTATTATTATTAATATTTGTAAAATGTATAATAAGATGATCTTAGAGAACCTAAAACTTTACCGTTAAATTTATTCACAATGACATGGCAGGGGTTAGATCCCAATTGATTTATTTCTAAACAAATCAACTAATATGTAACTTTCAAAGGCATTGAGTGGAAATTTAAGAATTTTTCGGGGATCTTAAGCATTTGTTATTTTTATTCAATAGATTATATCAATCAATAAAATCACTTAAAATAGTGTTTTAACCGATTATATATTGAAATCTAATAGTTCAAAACTAATATATATATATATATAAGATTTATTTAGTTTTCTTGTGAAATACTTCTTTAGCAACACTTGTATAAAAAATTATATTCAATTACTAATGTATCAAAACCAATTCAATATTTTTTATGCATATACATGAGCCCCTCCCCAACAAAATTCATTGTTCCGCCCCTAGTGGTGTTGGTTATAATTGAGTTATGAGAGGTCTTTAATTATGTTTTAATGGTGTTTGGTTTTGGTCCATTAAATTACGACATAAAGTTATTTGATCATAATATGATACACTCTTTTTGAGAAATATATATATATATATTATATAGTATTACCCATATTTTAAACTTTTTGTTTACAAATTATGTATACAACAGTATTATGCCCAATCCCAATTTAAAAGCAATAAAAGCATATGGGCATCTCATATATATATTTTTTGAAGATCACCCCCCACATACACTTTGAATTGAAATCATCAGGACAAAAATAATAAACAAGAGGACCAGCCATACTGACACATCTAGTTGAACAAAAATTAAGCACTGTTGCCTTCATAGTTTAAATAAAACAGGAAGCAACAATGGCGCCGGTGCAAGGTTAGAACTCATCACCAACATGGTGTGAGTGAGATTCTGAAGAGTGGTAAGAATCTCTTGTTGAGTATTTTGAAGTCCTTGAATGGCTTCAAGCAAAAGTGGTTGATCTGGAGCCATGGTCCTGTTATCACCACCATTAGAGGATCCTTGTTGGTAAACTTCATCTTCTCCCGCCATCCTTGTTGGAGTTGTGTGGATTCCGGATCTTGTTGAGACCATTAACCAATCCGCCTACCCAGCAGAGTCCCCAAAATGTAGGAAAGGGTTCAAGAAAGGAGTTGGAAAATTCGAAGATCTTCGAAGATCCTTGAAGAACAATTTCGAAATTATGTATATAACAGAATTATGCCCAATCCCAATTTAAAAGCAATAAAAGCATATGGGCATCTCATATATATATTTTTTGAAGATCATTCCCCACATACACTTTGAATTGAAATCATCAGGACAAAAATAATAAACAAGAGGACCAGCCATACTGACACATCTAGTTGAACAAAAATTAAGCACTGTTGCCTTCATAGTTTAAATAAAACAGGAAGCAACAATGAGTGATTTACCGAAATCCGTAGGCAAGAGAGAGGCCAGGAAAAGAGTCTTCGTTCGATTATTCTCTTGAGTTTAGCTTATCATTGATTCAGTCGATTATTGAAGTTGTAAAAGAGACATAGTCAAATCCACAAAGAAAGAGAACTTGCAAAGAGAGATGAATGGATTCTTTTTTTTTTTTTTTTTTTTGATCAGAATGAATGAATACTTTGGTTCATCTTTGGTTCACTAAAACGATGTGAGAAAAAGGAAGTTGAAGATTCCGCAACATTTTAGACGAAAATTCTTATTTCTTTTTTTTTTTAATTCTTTTATTTATCACAGTGGGCCAGAAAAGTGACGTGGAATGTCATGTAAGTTTTCTGCAGAGGTGTTAGTAGGAATATAAGTAACCATAGCATTATTAAAAAAAAAAACAAAAAAACAAAACAAAACATAACATAACATACATCAGGTTCTATTAAATCACTCACACTCACTCACTGTCTCTCTCTCTCTCTCTCTCTCTCTCAAATCCCTAATTTCTTGATCTCGTTGATTGCTTCTAATCTCGGCAACAATTTCATCCTCGAGGAGTCTCATAGCATCTCTCTCCAGTGTGATTTCAGCATCCAAGTTCGATCGATTAATCGATTTTAGTCTAATAGATTTGGTTTTTCATCTATTGTTCGTATTTATTCTTCGAAAATGCTTATTTATCGGTGTAATGTTTATGTTGATGATTTCACTTCGTTGTGTTGATTTATGATGTGCTGGTTCGAATACACGATCGCTGAACTGTAGTATTAATTTTGGCGCTGAGATTTGATGATTCTGTTAATTTTGGTGCTGATTTGATGATTTATGATGTGCTGGTTCGAATACTACTAGTTGTTGATTCTGTTAATTTTGGTGCTGAGATTTGAAATGTAGTATTAATTTTGGTGCTGAGATTTGATGATTCTGTTAATTTCAGCGAACTTGAGAGACGCCTCTAGGGGTTTCCTTACAGATACTTCTGCTACTAATTAAGAGTCAATGTGTTCAACATTTGGCAGGCAACATTCTTGTGGCCATCTCTGATTACATTGTTGCATCTGTATGTGAAAATTTGTTACCTTGAAAGTTCAACTTTTTCGTTTTTTGTTTTTTTTTTTTGTTTTTCCTTGTGATTTATCTTGCAAAATTGTATGTTGAACATATTGACTCTCAATCAGTAGCAGAAGTATCTGGTTTAAGCAAATCCATGAAAATGTTATTTCTCTTGTCAAATAATTTTGCTGCAATTGATGATTTTAATTTTATTTTTTTTTAATCCCTTGAGGGATTCATTCTAGGTGAAGTCTTACACTTCACAATTTCAATTTCAACAATCGTTTTCTCAAAGTCCAATTTATTTCATGACTTGAAATGCAAATTACAATTCTCAAAATTGAAAAGAATCAGGCCAAATTCAGTAATTTTCAGCTGAAATTTTAAAAAATAAGACTTCCATGCAATTCATACAGATTTTTAGTGGGTCTAAAAGCAAGCACTTCTTTTTTATGTACGTCAAAAAGCAAGAACATAGGGGAAAATGGGTGTATATGGATCCATTCAACAACACGAGTGTTAAGAATTTTCTTAATGTTGTGTTTGAATTTGTTGAAGGAAAAGAACAAGCTGCTTCTTTTTTTGGTCTGTGTGTGTGAAATCAGTAACATTACAGAGTGAAGAGAGGGAGAAGGATAAAATTCCATGAGTTTGATAATTTTTTAGCACCAGCCATTTCTGTATTTTGAAAAGTTGCTCACTGGCTTGCAATTATATATTTATTTATTTATTTATTTTTGAGTAAAGTCCTTTTTTTTTTTTTTGAATTAAAATAGGGCCAAAAAAAAAAGAAACTACTGAAAGAGGAACATCTCTACACCAAACTGATCCGGCTGCCAATTACTCTATAATTTTTATATTGCCTGTGTCTGTCTGTACATGCATGTAGCTTACACTTGGTGTTGTAGTAATAGGAATAGTTGTCTTGTTTGTGGATTGAGATATTTGAACTGGTTGCCCCAGCTGATGTTGGCTAATATTGGGGAAAGTTGTTGGGTACTTCGCTTTCACCATTGATGGTATTAGTCTTGAAAAATGATCATGTTTGAAGATGTGGGAGCTGGTCTGTTCTCTTATACGAATAAAGTCGTTGATACAAGAGATCTTTTTATGTAATTTTTCTCTTCTGATTTTCTATTATTATTTATGTCTATTTATGCTCTGTTTACACGGATAGGTGTTGGAGTCTGACAGTGTTACAAGTACACTGGATAGTATCTGATAAATTTAAATGTGAAATAACTTGTTTCTTATATTCTTTTTGGTGAAAACAACTTGTTAGCTATTTAACCATTTGTTGCTATCTATATGCTAAATGAATGAGGTGTTTTCATTCAATGTTAAGCCTTTGGACAGAATTCAAAGCAGTAACTAGTAGCTGTTAACTGTCCAGTGGTGGACTTGGGTGAATTGAGCCTCAAAAAGCTTTAACCACCGGTAATGTATTATACGTATATGCATATTTATTCCTCCGAAGTAGCTATAGTTAATTTTTTTTACCATTTCCTTTAACACATGAATGTAATATGCATTTTTTTTTAATAAATGGGCTGTTAAAACTTTCACAATTAGTTGCCAACAAGCCAAATTTTTATGCTGACATGTTTTTTTTCTTCCCATTGTTAGGATCCTGAAAACAAGAAGGTCATAATCTATGATGAAAACCTGAAGAAAATTTTTGCAGGGCGAGACCGAGTTGGGTTTCTTGAGATTGCGGGATTGATGAATCCACACTTTCTCAAGTGAGCCCTTGCAGGAGAATGGATTTTGACTTTCAAAGTCATCGATGAATCTGTTTTTTTGTAAATGAGGGGTCTCAGTATTTTGCTGATGATACTACTTGCAGGATTTAGCAGTGCTCTCTATATGTGACGTAGTAGTTTTTTTTTTGAACTTCTTCCAGTTGCCTACGCATGAGCCTCGCTCTATTTTGGTTTTAACGAGTGTTTATGCTCATTTTGTGTTCTTGTTATATAGGCTACGGATCAGAATGCAATATTTGTAGTGACGGTCAATTTTTGGTTTATATATCATGTTAAGTTTTAGAGGAATCTGATATTCATAAGTTATTGATATTGCAAGCAAAAGCATCTTTTATGCAATGTTAAAAAAGTTTAATGCTTTACAAACACAAAAAAATAGTCGAGAATTGTTTGCGGATATTTTCTGTTGGTTGTTGAGAAATCAAGACAGGAGTATAAGTTGATGTTCAAATTAATATTTTGAGTAATTGTTACAAAATCAAAAAGGCAAATATATATATACATATATACATATTAAACTTTTAAAAACTAATTTTAGTTGCCTCAAAAAAATTATAACCTTTGCAGTTCACTTTTAATTGCCTCCAAAATTAAAACTTTTAGCCACCATTTTCATTTGTCTCAAAAATTAAAACTTTTAGAAAATTTTTTGCACGCACATTTTTTTGTCTCTAAAAGTCAATTTTTAGCTTTTCCGGACGGGTTATTTGGGATAAACTTTGTGACGAAGAAAATTAGTTGGCTAAAATTTTTCTCAACAAATATTACACTTTTAGGGATGAAATAAATTTGTCCCTAAAAAATTGATTTCTTGTAGTGTATATACACACGCCATTATATGATAAGAATTCTCCAAATTACTCCAAGCAAATGATGGATTGCTTCAAGTAAACTTCAGCTCTGAATATAAACTCTAAAACTAGCATGTATATTAATTTCAAGAAACCTAGAGAACAGTATTTAAGACAACACCACCTCAAGGGGATAACCAAGTGGCATGTTGAGCAATGATAAGGATCAGCATAGGTCATGAGTTTAAATTTCATAAAGCACTTGATTCCTAGGAGGCCACCCTCGAAACCTATGCTTGCAAGGTTTTAAAAAGCGGCTGCAACCGTTACGTAACGCCGTTACGTAACGGTTTTGGCAGTTACCGCCACCCGTTACGGCCGCTTTTGCAGTGTGATTGAGATTCACAGGTGTGTCGGCCGTAACGACTGCCGTAGCGGTCGTAATGGTGCCGTAACGACCTGTTACACACCGTTACGACCCCGTTACGTAACGGTTCTAAACAGTTTCTTTCGAAAAAACACAAAAAAAAAAAAGTTGAAAATAGAGGAAGAGGGATAGAGAGAAGAGGGAAGATAAAGAGAGAAAATGGAGGAGCAAGAGATAGAGAGAGAGAAGAGAGAAGATGAAAAACATGTTATTGATTTGTTGAAGCTGTAAAACCTATGCTATTCTATTCAGCTGCTATCACTGAACCATTTTGTTTGTGTGTGTCTATCTATATATTGTTTGAAAATAATAATAATAATAAGTGTGATCATTATCTATTTGGCTTGGTTAAAATATGTATATATATATAAATATATATATATATATTTAGGCTCTTATTTATTCTCTTACTTTTGTCATTGTTTATCTTATATATAATAGTTAGTGATTTGCGGCGGAGAAAATTAGTTGGCTAAAATTTTTCTCAACAAATATTACACTGTTAGAGACGAAATAAATTTGTCCCTAAAAAATTGATTTCTTGTAGTGTATATACACACGCCATTATATGATAAGAATTCTCCAAATTACTCCCAGCAAAGAATTCTCCAAATTACTCCAAGCAAATGATGGATTGCTTCAAGTAAACTTCAGCTTTGAATATAAACTCTAAAACTAGCATGTATATTAATTTCAAGAAACCTAGAGAACAGTATTTAAGACAACACCACCTCAAGGGGATAACCAAGTGGCATGTTGAGCAATGATAAGGATCAGCATAGGTCATGAGTTTGAATTTCATAAAGCACTTGATTCCTACGAGGCCACCCTCGAAACCTATGCTTGGTAATTATCCATTATGGGTGGACAACGGGACTACATGTACCTAGGAGACTAGTTAAGGCAAAACTTCCAGTGCCCTTGCTAACCAAAAAAATAAAAATAAGTAAAAAATAAAATTAGGAAAGGCCCAAAGCCAATCCCAAGGAACAGTAAAGCTTTATATGGTCTTTCTATCCAGATGCAGGTATGTCTATTTCACTAAGTTTCTCTCTGAGAAAGTGCCCAGATCGTTACACATTTCATGTTGGTTAGAACTTACCCGCCAAGATATTTTGCTACCTTAGGATCGTTATGGTTATGGCTGCCGTTCACAGGGCCTTCGGTCGCTGGCTCCCCTGTCCAATCACCAACTTCCTTGCCTTCCACACTAGGCAGGCATGCGTACAACAAAGACAGCCATATAACCTTGATTGGAACACCATCTAAGATCTAGAGAAACAAAGATTGTGATCTATCATAATCCCACCCAAATGGGTAGAAACTAGGCATAAATGGCATAAAGTTTTTCACCTTATTCCAAAGTCAAAGCATCCCGTGTACAGTCACTGGACGCTCCTAACAAGGCACAGTAGGTATTGTGGATTATACACCAGCATCTTCTAATTGTACAAGCTCAAACAAGCGAAAAACCAAAAGCAACGAAAATTGTGATTGAACCCAAAAAACAAGCTCAAAGCATCTGGAGATGACTGAATAAATCATCAGAAACTTTCATACTATAGTTAAATAAAAGCACAGAACAAAATTTAATTTCTGTCTCCCAACAGGCATTGTTGCTGCCAAAATAATTAAAATCCAAGCCATTATTATATAGTGATATTGTTGTATGTGGTTATGTGTGTATGGAGAGAGAGAGAGAGAGAGAGAGAGAGAGATCGTGATCACGAGACAGTCAATAATCAATCCATGAATCAAAGAGAAATCTGTCGAGCAAATAAATGAAAAAATTAACATGCAAAACATATTACAACATATCCTTCTATAACTGTGCGTCGAACACTTGGCATTTGCAATGAGGGACAGAGAAATTTAAAATCCAATGTACATATGACAAAAACTGAATTTCCAGTATGACTTGATCAATAATTTTAGCTACTATACATTCGAAACCTCCACGCTGAAAGAGAGAGAGAGAGAGAGAGAGAGAGAGAGATCGTGATCACGAGACAGTCAATAATCAATCCATGAATGAAAGAGAAATCTGTCGAGCAAATAAATGAAAAAATTAACATGCAAAACATATTACAACATATCCTTCTATAACTGTGCGTCGAACACTTTGCATTTGCAATGAGGGACAGAGAAATTTAAAATCCAATGTACATATGACAAAAACTGAATTTCCAGTATGACTTGATCAATAATTTTAGCTACTATACATTCGAAACCTCCACGCTGAAATCGAAAAAAGGGGTCTATCTTGCCAGCATATAACCAAACAACCTTTCTCTTCTTTTAGTTTATATCCATTGTAGCCATTACTCTGCAACAACCTTGTTGCTTGCAACCTACCATGGTAACTTATGGGGACTCTGCCGAACCCAGCAAACTCAAGCCTTGGAATCCATTTCTCAAGTTTTTCATGTCTTTCCTTTCTTTCAATTCCCTCACATGCTACGATGTTCTTAATTTCCTCCCCGAAAAGCATTTTCTCGACCTTTTGACGCTCTACTGATGTCCTTGAGATGGTCAACTCCAAACAATCAAACAATGCTCCATAAAAATTCAATGCTTCTGTGACTCTATCCATTAAACTATGTGCATTATGGTTTGATTCTTGCTCAGTCACCACCATCAGCTTTGGAGAAAGGCCCCTAAGGGCATTTAAAAAAGTTCCCATCTTCCCTGAAGAGCCAAAACATAGAGGTGACGATGACGATGCTGAATCAGGACTTGGGCTATAGAAATTAACCACATCTTTCTCAAGAAAATCTCCTAAAGTGAGTGGATTCGTCTGCAAGACTCTTTGCAGGTGAACTGCTGAATTCAAATTCTTGGATGCAGAAGGGGAGTTCCTTCTTAGCATATCGTCATCAAATGCCAAGAGGGAGTGAAGTTGAAGAACGGAGCTGATTGCAAGAGCTTCTCCAGTCTTAACACGCAAACATTCAAAATCGAGATTCTCCAACTTACTCACTATAGGATGAAATTGAAAAGGGATGTCCAACTTTTCAGCTTCTTCATTCAAGCAATGAGCCATTAGTTCCAACACCTCTTTGTGTTCATGAATGCCCGTAATTCTCAAATGAGGTGGCCCTTCAGGACGAGCTTTTAATAACTGAAGAAGATTAATCCACTGGGCAGGCTCAAAACAATTGAGATCAATAATATGAACAACCTTCTCCCCATCCATGGCTTCAATGATTGCTTGGTTTGTGATCACATATGATAGCCTTAAGAAGGGGAAGAGCTCAAAGAACAATCTCTGAACAAGAATTTCTTCAGAGATGGATGATATTTTGGTAGAGTTGAGGGCCTTGTGCAATCCAGGCCAGCCTTTAAGCATGCGATCGGCAAGTGCTTCAGTGAAGTAAGCAGCGATTCTCTGCATTGTATCACCATCAGGAGAGGCGAGATGGGAAATATACTCAAGACCAATATTGGCGTTCTCAACACTGCCAGCCGCGACTTGGTTAGCACAAGCGACGAGAAGCTGGATCAGGGTCAAACCTCTTTCCTCAGATTTCATTTCCCTGTGCCACGGAAATGGTGAACCTATACCAGGTGAAAGTGTCATCAGGGAGAAATACTGAAGAGGTGACGAACTCACCGATGATGATCCCTTCTCTTGACCCATGCCTTCCAGCTATAACAGTGAGATTGAACTCTTCTAGGTACCAAAAAGTGGGATCTGAAATGTATGATATAGTCACAATCAGATCAGTTTCAAGTTTTTATTCATTTATTTTGATCAGCACAAGAAAATTTATTAAAAAATATATGAAAGAAAACAACAACAACAAAAGGAGAACAAGAAGTCCACCAAAATAAACGAGTAGAGAAGAAGAAAAGATGACATGTTCTTTCTCACCAGTTACAAGTTGCAACAGAATAATTATAAAAGTCTGAGTAATTGAACTAACAGTTTATCTCATTCGAGAAAACTGATGAAAACAAAGAAAAAGAACTTCAAATCCCATGTTCATGATGTTTTGCTTCCTAAACCCTCTGCTGGTTGCTGGTTGCTGATGATAATAAAAAGAAAATACAAAGTTTGCTTTCAACAAGCCAAATTGATATAGTATTAGACTTGGTAAAGCAGAGCTTTTAGTTTGTCCTGCTTCCAAAGCATGCAATAATCAAACTTTCACTTTGTTTTATTTTGCTAAATAATTTAATTGGGTATTGAACACATCTTGGATATTAAAAAATCCTCTTTCTTTTCATTTAGACTATTTCTTCTTCCATTACGTCAGCAGAGCATTAATTCAATGCAGTGAATGAAACCATCATTCTAAACTATTTTAAGGAAATCAAGGAAAAAAATATAAAATTAAAAAAAAAAAAAAAACAACCAAAGCATATTGTGGAGTGGGTTTCAGTTACTGATGTGAAACAGAAATAGAAACAAAGATCAACTACTTGAGTAAGCAATCAAACACATGATCAATCAGTTCTCTGAAACAGAGACAGAGCAAGGAGAGAAGGAAGAAGAAGAAGAAAATTACCAGTAACAGTTCAGAAGAGAAGTCGTCGAGTAAGCAATAGAACACAACATCCAATACAACTTCTTAAATGGGTTCTCTAATTGATGAGAAACCCAGAAACAAAAAAAAAAAAAAAAACCCTTTGAAAATTCCAGGCTTGCTTAGACACTCTGTGAGGGTTTATATGGTTAAGAGGCACACACCTGTGTCTTTTAAGGACTTTGTTTGAGAGTGGTGAGGTGTGGTGTGGTGTGGTGTGGGTGTTAATTGGAAATTAAAGGCACCTTTGTTTCAAGGACTTTTCTATGGCCGTCATTGGTGACAATTCAAAGGTTTGTAGATTTGTCCTGATTAATTTGGTGTCCTTTTGGGGGGATCAGAGGAATATTGAGAATTTCTGAGAGACAGACACAGTTTTTCTTGTTGTGTCTGATATGGGTTTTTGTCTCTATGCATAGTGGATGGGAATAAGAGCTGGCCAAAGTTGGTTTTATTCTCAATCAATGTATAAAGCCAAACATGTATTAACAAAGCAAAACAAACACTAGCCTTTGATTCATGTTGTTGGGTAGTGGGTGATAGTGGGAATTGCGAGAGAAGCCTTCCAAGTGCCTCCAAACCCATCATTTGTTTTCTTTTCAAATGCATAGACCATCCACTTAGTTCTATCCTCTAACCTTAGGACAAAAGAGACCACGAAGGTTGTGAGATAATTCCAAAAGTAGATACAATATTTAACTTTACTTGTGGAGTTTTGGATAGCTATTCTCCGAATATCCCTACCCACCCCACCCTCATTGCTTCAAATTATATTATTATAACTTTTTATTTATGTTTATAAAAATTATAAGTCCTAGACAAAAATTCGTTAGTATCTATTTCTGTTTTGTTTTGTTTTTTTTTTTTGTTTTTTGTTTTTTTGTTTTTTTTCAAATTGTAAACGATTTATAAAATTTAATTAATTTTTGTAATTAACAATAAATAAATAAATAAATAAATAGTTTCACTTGTTAAGAAAATATATATTTTTTCATTTCTTTCCCATTTATCTCCTTTGATCATCTCTCACCACCAACTCCCATTAGAAAATCACATTGGGCTATCATATTTCCTTAGATATCACCTCCGACCACCATCTCTAGTCATAACTTTTAGCAACCACTTGCAACTACCAACTCCCACTAGAAAATCACCTTCGATTATCATATTTCCTTAGAAATCACCTCTAGCCACCACATCTAGTGACCAGTAATCACTTTCGACCACCATTTTTGATTGTTGAACCACCAATAATCATCTTCAGTCGCTTCCCTCTCACATATTTTTAAAATAAGTTTTGAAACACATGTATACCAAATATATTTTTGATGAGACCCATATTTTAGACCCACAAATTCATTTATATTATGTGATAAGGAAAGTAGGGCTTATATCATTAGGTGTGTAACAAATAAAAAATTAACATTTATCATACTATCTCATTGTGGGTCAAATTATGAGAGCATTTTGTGAGTCTCGCATATTTTCCCATGTTTTTATTTTATTTTTACTAAAAAACATAAATATATTGAATATCTTCTATATATAAAATTTGGTAAACTACAAATATTACCAGACAACTTATCTTTTCAATAATATAGTATGTGATCTTTTACTCTCAAATTTTGTTCTCTAAATTTTAATGCACTTTTTTACTAGTATAATAAAGTGTAATAAAGTCTAGAGATAGATGCTCAACACGTTATATTGTTTCCTGTCTTAATACAAACCTCAATTGTATAATCTTGTCTCGAGATTCTTATCATATATTACAAATGGAATAAATAAATTTAAACTCTTTGCATAAATAACTTTGTTAAAAATTATTTCCAACATTATTATTAATTTATTTGCTGAGAGTCATTCTAGAATAATCTTCATACTTAAACTAATTCAAAATTTTCTGTTCAATGATACTACTCATGGAATGATTGCAATTTAGCCAAATATATCACCTACCTGAAAATGTTTAAGTAACTCAAATAAGAAATATGTTAGTACTAGTACTTGTGCACACTCAAATGGGTGTGTTTATTTGAAATACGCAGCAGTTATATATAGACAATTATAAATGTTCCATAAACAGTTATAGAATAAAGGAGAAGGATTGTATACATATATTAAGAAATGAAAAAGGGTAATTTAAGAATACAAAAATCTTTTGGCATTGAGGAGAAAAAATGACACCAATAGAGGTGTTGTATAAATAAATAAATGGGCACTTGGTTTTGTAATATTCTGTTCTAGATACTGCTCGAGCGGTCAAGTGGTCACTCGAGGGAAGATGTGAGCCTTCCAGTAATTTCAGTGTAGAACTACAAAACTTCTGGAACATTGTGCTTGAGCGGTATGTTTGAAAATCTCTTCATCACATGAGCGATGGAATGTTCACTCTTGCCATCTGTACGAGGTCAGATATTTTAAAACCCACTTTTTGACTCATTTCTCTCACTTTTTCCATCTTTTCCTCTTCTCACTCCTCCATTCCGAAAACCCTAATACCAAAACAGTAGATTTCATATATTTATAACAACAACCTATCCTTGTTCTTTCGTCAAAAGTGTTGATCTTGTTAAAAACTACATTTTGAACCGATTGGATCGTAATATCTCGGAAGTTCATATGTTGGGTCTTCATCTCTACACACACAAGTGTGAGGTAGGAATATATGTAACCTTGTATATCAATGTTTTGGTTTAATTATGTGTTAATTTCATAATATGTGTGTGATGTGGGATAGGTGATTGGTATATGGGAATTGGTGGTGATTGAAGGTTTTTGCCTTAAAATTTTTGAAATAAATAGTTATCTCTTAATGAAAAATAATGCATGCATCATGAATCTTGGAAAATGAAAGGATAGATGGAAAGGGACAGACTTTACGAAAGGAAGTTAACCGTCCAACTAGAAATGATAATAGAATGCATGGGTCATTAGGAGTTCCAATAGCGGATAAATATAGTATACTACCTTACTTATTCCAATTGCTTGTGAAACCCTAACCATTGTTCATGGGTCTTGGATGGTACATAAGTGGAATTCAATGGGCGAATTAGGAATGTGTTTAGATAAAATAAGAGCTTCGCGTAATTTGTTTGATGTGTGATATGGTATTACTCGCATAGGGAAACTGAGGTGCCTAGTTGCCCGATCATGCGAGGACAATAAATGTGGGAATGCTTGAGGTGTCCAGGTGCCAATCGTGTGAGGACGATGAATATGGAAGGTTGAGGTGTCCACTGGCCATCCATGTGAGGACAAAGAAATATGGAATTAATTTGAATGACATGCATTGGAATATGAAATCGTGGGACTAGTGTTCATGGGTTATGCATAATTTAAATTAAATGTTTATATACTTGATTAAATATATTCTTTATTCGGCGATTGCTCATTCCAATCTAACAAATTTCAAGACTTGGTGAGTAGTAACCACCACAATGAAGTAAAAGGGGATCAACTTTATGCCAGAGTCAAGAAAACGTGAATATGTGATATGTTAATTAGAGCTTTGTTTTGTTTTGGGACCAAGAGTCCTTTTTGCTCAATGAAGGCCTTGCCTTAGAGATTTTAAGCCCGTGGGGCATTTGTTATGATCTTTTCTAACTTTTGAACTGTGAAAACTTAACATGTAATTTGTGACTCTCAACTTACAGTTCAATGAGAAAGATAACTTTTGGGACCAATCTTATACTTACTGTTTGTTAATATGTATATATATAGATATATATATATCATGCTGGACATTATTTCGTTCTTAAATAATTTGGGGGAGTGACAAATTGATATCAAAGCTAACTGAGCTCATGGGATGTGACTTTCGCCACAATGGGTTTATCATGCTAGGAAGGAATGTTAGTTTACTTTTTATGCCTTATGTGCGTTGCATTCATCTAGATCCTTTTGGAAAGGCACTTGATCAATGCTTTTTCCACTATGAGATCTTTGAATGTAATGGGATGCGTTGATATCTTTAGAGGGTAGATGTATGTGCTCTACATGATTATGTGTTTACGTAGATTGTTTTATGTGACTTAAATGTGTGTATAGTCTTATCTTGGTGCTTGGATGATAGGTAAGGCCACATGTGGTTATGTGAACCACGAATTTAATCTTATCTCTATTTTATATAGGATGTCAGGACATCGCAGAGGCCGAGGTAGACGTCACCGATGTGGTTGGGATATTCCTGGTCAGCAGGAGATCCCTCCTCAAGAAAAGAGAGTGGGCCAAAACAATGTAACTGCTCCACTAGCCCAAGAAACAATGGAGGTGTTGGCCCAATAGATGGCTAGGGCTCTTAGAGAGTCCATAGACATTCTTAGAGCCGAGTAAGTGGCTAGGATTATTGAAGGAGAGTCTAGGACTTATTTTCTAAAGAAGGATTTTTTCCACTCAAATCTTGCCGAATTTCACGGCGATGCCAAACCATTAAAGGATGATGAATGGTTAGACCAATTCTCCAAGTCTTTCGAGAATCTAGACATTCGTGAGGGTGAACTTTGGGCAGTGCTTGCCACCTACCAATTAAAGGGGGATGCAAGCTAATGGTGTAAGTGTGTCAAGGGTCGAATTGAGCATACTTGGGAGGCGTTTTCTCATGTCTTTCAGGAGAAATATCTTCCTCCTACCACTAGGGAGTGTCTAAGGAAAGAATTTGAAGAACTTAAGCAGTTTGACTCCACAGTGGCCACGTTTGAGGCCACTTTTACCAGTTTGTCCCATTTTGCACTTGATCTTGTGTAGCAACTGAGGAGCGTCGATGCCTAGAGTTTGAGAAGAGGTTGAGGCTAGGGATTTTGATGAAGGTGATAGGGAATATGATTCGTGATTATGATAGGCTAGTGGAGTCTGTCGTGCATGTTAAAGTAATGTTGGAGTCAGAAGAGAAGAAAAGGAAAGAAAAGAAGGCTCAAGAGGTAAGGGTTTACAGAGTCATGGGGAGATACTAGATCATCTAAAAAGTTAAGGGTTCATCGTCCTTTGTCACACCCCTGTAGGTTGTGTCATCCATTCCTATTTCAGGAAAAAGTATGGATAGTACAAGATAAAATGGGGTTACTTGTTATCGGTGTGGTCAGCAAGGCCACAAGTCCATTGTATGTCCATGAAGAAGTAGCCAACAACACCAAACTCCGGCTC